ATAGCATACATAGCATACATACACACACACACACAACACACACACACATACAGGCGCACACACACACACACACACACACACAACAAGACGACACAGACACACCAACGACACACAGACACCACAGACACGACAGACGACACCACACAACACACAGACACACACACACACACCACCGACACACACACACACAGACACAACAGACACACAAGACACACAGACACACAGAACACAGCAGACACACGACAACACACACACTACACACACACACACACAGCACACACACACAACACACACATAACACACACACACACACGACACACCACACCACACAGACACATCACACACACGCACACACACACACACACACACACACACACACACACACACCACCCACACAGCATACACATACACACAACTGAAGCAGTCTCATGCCGATGGGGTTGTCTTAATTTTCGCTCACAGCTGTGCGCGGCAGTGAATTGGCTGTTTATAGCCTAGCGTTCCATATAAGCGCGTTGCTATGAAATAATGTTCATTTAATTATTTATCATCAAACACCAAATACGGAGTAATATGTGCTAAAATAACACCATTTATTTTGGTATACAAATGACAGCGGGAGCATTGTAGGGGGAAAATATTTTAATAATACATGTAGATTTAAATAATTATTACAACCGACTCACTCACATACACTGTAAGTTAGTGATATCTCCTAATAATGATAATTGATTAGGAATGAATATAGTTCGCAAGAAGGTATTGCGTGACAATAGTAGCCCCCCCCCCCCACATACACTTCCACAACAAAATAAAGACAAAAAATATTCATACGTTTTAATTAAGTTACTAGTTAGCATATATAAAATAATCACTGATTATATCAAACGAAACACAGTATGATATTACACCAAGTGATTCCAACTTGATGAATGGACAGATAGTCCATACCCTCAGATATTTCTAGCATCATACATCTCATGTTAACTGGAACGACCTTTATCACATGTAACCAACCTACTTTGTCAAGTCAAGGCACTTTAAGGGTTTATGACCTACGTTCATAAGCTTAGCAACACGATATGGTTTGAGATATTCGATGCATGTAACAAAAAGCACTCAAAATACGTGATTATACTATTTAATCAAAAATAAGCTGGTGTGATATTACTATTCAATTGTGAACACTGAATACAAACAGATTTATGATATTATGGAACCCTTTCACATTGCGACGACGAATTAATGAGATAAGGCACTAATTCGCCAAGGTGTCTTGTTTTAATCATAGAACCTTTAAATCCATGTTACAGAAAAATGTGTAATAATTTAAATTTTATAAAACTCACTACTGCTGCTTTATTATCACCAACCGCTGAAGTAAAGACAGCTATACAGGTAGCTTAAATGCAGAATTACATTTTGGCACATCTGGTCAACAGAGTGTAGGCTACATCTATTGGATCATACTCTGCAACCTAATCTCAGATGATAAACTGACAGTCATGTCAATGAACACTACGCCTACTATAGCCACTGCTCTAGGAAGCATACCAACTCCCTTTCTTTTCGAAATATGACATCGCTCACGTATCTTCCTCCTCGTCCTCATCCGTCAGGTAAGCCACACAGAACTGATCCTTCCCTATCAGCGTTATGGCTCCTCCAGTCGGACTCCACGACAGACTGGTCACCTGGAATGCAGCGTCTGATGGTACCTCCACAGACACGCAACCAGCTGGCTGCCACAAGTACAGCTTGTTCGTGCCTGTACACACAGCCAACCTTGATTGTGTCGGCTCCCACTCCGCTCCTAAATATGCAGATGTTTAGTCAAAACTAGTAATTCGTGGAAATAACGAGTATATAATACTATTTTATCCACAGCTTTGTAGGCTAATACAGTAGACATAATTATGGCATCATATAGAAAGTACCAGCCTTTCTACCTGCACTTTTGTGCACTACTATGCACACTACGTGCATTCTAACAATTTTTACTTTTTGATTGTTTATCAAGATAGATAGATTAACTATGTGGTACTACTGTGGTGTTTTTTTGAATTGTTTCCATACTTACCACGAACAGGATGAGCATGAATTAATGCAACCATTAATTTCAGTTTCATTAAGTCCCAGATCCACAATGTACACGGCATATTATCTGCAATATGAGGGGAACAGAAGCTATCAGATTATCTGATTCCAGTTATATCTATCCATGTTGCCAGAATCTTATGAGTATTACTGACCCAAAAAGTTGTATGTAACTTATATAACATGGGCAAAATGTTATAGAGCATACCATTTCTCGTGACTAGATATTTATTGTCAGCACTCCAAGAAAGTAGTCCCACACCTAGTCTTGGATTAACACTGTCTGGTACTGGCTTTACTGTTTTGACATTGACTGGTCTCTCTTCTATTACCTCATCTGTAAACATATAACATTAATACCAGCGTTGTTACAGGTAGTATATTTTATACGTGGAAGCCATTTCGGTATATTCTCTGAATCATTTGAATTCCAACTGCACGTGAAAAACACGGGCATGTGATGTAGCCATTTTTCACCTTCTTGAACATAAATTTCACATATTTTGACATAAATACTCGCAGATATTAGTGTTAGTGTTAAAACTACCCACACTGTCAAATCGCTCAGTGTAAATGTACATAAACCACAATGTAAATGATTGTCCCTGTAATAATTTTTATTCACTCTAGTTAGTTGTCTAGCTGCACGTTTTATTCATTTATATCTAATTTGTAATGCACACATTAACAAATACCTAAATGAACAAACAAAATAGCAGTTGTTGTAATACGAGTCGTTCGTTATACTTACATTTGCTCTGTGCTCTCAGAGAAACATCACGGAGAGTCAACTGATGCCGCTTAAGCTGAGGTTTTTTCTCCACTTCCTTATATACAACCTACATACACAGATAGTAGCATTCACACATGCTTTTACACCACTGAACACAAATTCGTGTTCATGCAAACATTGTGGTGAAAGCCTATTGGCAAGGAAATGGGTGACAACCCTTGGTATACTATTCACTTCACTTCAGTACCTGGCCAGAGTTTGAGGCAACCCAACACCCTTACCTTTATAACTAAGTGCCCAGTTACTACACTATGTGCTTACCACATTGAGAGATTCTATGCCGCCTGGATGACAATGCTCAGCAACTGGCTTCCACGTGATATGATTCAGTATTCTGAGCTGGAATATGTACATGACAAATTACAGCCATCTTAAATCTCTCGACTACAATGAGACAGAAAAATAAATTGCAAATTCAATACATATTACCAAGAGTCCATAATAGAGATATCTCTCTATTATGGACTCTTGATATTACCGGCAATAGCTCATATCACAAAGCATCCGCTTACACCTAGGACACACTGTGCGATTTTCTACGCTGGCCGCTTGCGATCCGCCGATCGATAAATACGGGGCCGGGTCGAAAAACCGGGCGGAAATATTCAACATGTTAAATACGAGCGATGCGCCAGGCGTATGGGATCGCGAGCGAAATACGCTGCCGTGAGACCGGACACACCGCGCGGACCCGGCACCGTATTTATCGATCGCAAGCGGCCAGCGTAGAAAATCGCGCAGCGTGTCCTAGGATTTATACACTCTCGTGTGGGACGGTGGTGCCACCTATAGGTGCATATTTTTATACTTCTCCATTCTTGCTATGGCTATCCTCGATTCAAAATTAGTAGGGGACCTGTAACCTAATGCTCATTACATCTTAACATCTTAAACGGTCAGGAAAACATCAAAGAGGCACAGTACCTTCTCATCGTAGCTTCCTATGGCGAGAAACTGGCTTGATGGGGACCACGACAGTGTCTTAATTCCTAGTGCATCTCGATACGGGCTGTACTCAGACAGGCACCGCCCGTCCACAGAGTACATCAACACCTTATTCTGCAAAGCAAACATAACAGATTATTATTATTATTAAAGCATTATATTGTCATTATATATTATTATGATTAACTATTACTTTAGATATTATTAATATACATTTTTTATTATAATGCTTTAACCATTTGTATGTAAGTGAGTATATATGATATTCAGCATATATATGTTCATTATTTTACCTACAGGATGAAGCTACTGGGTTACGATGACATCAATATGATAACGACAGCATTTCCTATTAGAAAGTAGCACTTAAAATTGCATTCTAGATAACGTAAGGTGTATAATGTCATTGATGTGGAAAACAAAGGCACAAATTCAGTCAGAACACTCAAAGTTGTTCCTACAGCCTCTACCTCTAAAAGGCTCTCCCAAACACAAAGCACTCTGCCATCTGGTGACCAGGATATACCAGCAAGGTCAACAGTGGCCACATCAAAATGCTGCAGAGAAAAATAGTAAGGATTTAGATATATACCATGGCTATGTCTTTTTTGAAAAATCTGCAACCGATAATTACATAAATTTCATCACAAATCTGTTTCAATAATGTAAAATTATAAAAATGAGGGCTGAGCCTCTGATGTTATTACCCAACTTTCCATGGGTTCAGCAGCATGATAGAAATTGAATTCTGTCCGTGACATTTTGAAACCTTACCTGTTAAGTCATGGAATGCTAATATAAGACCCTAATATTAAGCTCATTCATCTGACAAACTGTTCCTGTACTAGCACATTTAACCAATATGTTAGTGCCGTGCCGTCACGTAAAAGACGTGCACCTTATTAAAATTTTTAATTTACAGATGGTTCCGTCATCCCAGGTTGCATTTCACTTTCTGAATTACATGGCTACGCAAAAAAATTATATTCGCAATCACCTTCACTAGCTCCCAGCTACTACAGACGAATATTGAGATTACGTCCTTGCAGTCACGTCGTTCTGCTAATGCCATGTACTTGCCATCATGCGTGAAACACAACCCAGGCTTCGACTTCTTTGGGTATTTCATGTACGACACCGATTTGTTAACGAGAGACCACACTGTTATCCTCAACTGAAAAAAATTTACAGCAACATTATACATTAGCAATGGAGATGACAAGTAAGCTAGGTGACTAGTGAACAGAATTTACCATGTCTTCAAGCAATACCAAACACCGGAGTGCAAAATAACATGTGCGCACTTCAGTAATGTAACTGCTCTGCATGATTCTTTTTTATATAGGAAGATCGTCCAGTCCAGGGAGCGCTATGACACTTATTAAAATGCTTACATGAAAATCGGCAGTGGTAAGAAGATGTCTGCTATCAGGACTCCACTGAACCTCTGTCAATCCTGCAGAACCCTCATCTATCTTGCACGTCCATTCTGGATTATCGATTGACCACACCTACGTACCAATAGCATGAAAGCATGTCAAAGAACAAATTCAATTCAAATTATGCTCGAGATAATATCCTAAGGTTCTACAAGCATATTTTACATTAGATGGTAGTTAAATAAAAATAGAGACAAATTATCATTATTATAACATAAATACTACTTACCTGCACTATGCCTCGCTTAAACATTCCAGCTACAAGAAAACACGAGTCTGGTGCCCACTGTACAACAAATGAGAAGCACTGGTTTATTATCTAACAGTAAATATTGCACCAAAAAATCACGCAAGAGCATATATATGTGCATTGGCTTATCCACAAACCCCAAGTGTAAAAAGGTATGTGGCTGAAATTGCTGTGCAGTGGATTTTAACAAAACCCCTGCACATGTATGAAAATAATAACCAATATATCCCACTGTTGCTTCCAATCAACATATTCAGAGTACAGAATTATACTGACATATTTTGTAACACTTTTAGTCTCACTTACCCCTATGTACTGAATAGTATCAGCACACGTGAACAACTGCAATATCTGAAGGGATTTCACATCTCTAACGACGAGCCTAAATTGCACAGCGCTGGCCTGATAAATACATGCGGTCATTAGTAATCAGCATAAAGAAAAACAAAACTATAATTATGAATTGATTAGCATGTCATTAAATACTTGCTAGTAGGTAGTAGATTGATGCCTATAAGCTCTAGAGCAATGGTCCTTACACATAGGTTGAGAAGCATACCTGTACAATCAAGCCATTGCCAAAGGTTTTCAGGCGGGTAGTGTGTTACCAGGGACACTGATCAGTGTGCCACCATAGCAGCCCAAAGCATTAATTAAATAGGTCTGTGCCACTAGTAACATACTAGCCCTCCAGGCAGTGCCAGTAGTACTAGGCTAGCTCTACCTATGTCATGCATTTGATCCACCACAAAAATCCTATTTCTGAAGTGGGGTGAAAGGCTATTATATATATTCATTCTTGAACCGGCATAGATAGAGATATTATATACTATGCCTATGGGCTATATTTCCCATCCAATATTGTATATCCTGTAAAGAGTATACAATGAGTCTATGTTGAGTATATATATGCTAATACTACTCAACACATTCTCACAGTATACAATATAAAATATTTGATGCTATATGGTATATACTGTATAGTAATAGTATAGATAATATAGTGTATAATAGTATATAAATAATTGTATATGCCGAGAATTGACACTTTGTGTCTTCCAATCACAGCCTACACCGCACCACTACGACCCATTGGACCACCAAATCGCCGATCTCAGGAACTAGGGCATTCTGCTATGTTAGAACAGTTTCCTACGATAGAGTTTGCCACAAATACGAAAATAACACGCTGTTTAGCGCACTGCGCTACGTCCTTCTGTTGAATTTTCGCATCTCCGTAATCAGAATAAGCCCCGCCTTCTTCGTTGATGGACATGAATGAGGCGTCACCGACGTGACCAGTTACTCACTGTACCTACTGTCTTTCGCCAGCCTGTTTAATTTTCGTAAATAATGAAATGCCCGGCCGATGCATTTCGCATCGAAGTGGAAAATTTTCGGCATTTTCACTCGCTGTCGGAAGTGAACGAGTGCGTCATTCATTAAAAATTGAAGTTTTTCTTAAAATTAAATAATTCCGAAAATCCCTAACCGCGCTACTTGATTGTTTCAGCCAATGAACGTAGAGCTCTGTGTGTGTGATGTCTTGCCCGCGCGCTTTATGCTTGGCTTAGCGGGACTTGAAATGGATATCGCAGGCAGGTACCTCGCAACACTCATGTTTGTTTACATATAGCTTTGTGACGTATGGTGTTCGGGAGTTCTGCGATGATAACCTCGTAATTTCTCAGCATTTCTTAAGGTGCATGGAACATTTTACCAATTTAGTGGTGTCAGTTAGTCACGGATATGTCACAGTAAGTACTAACCGTATATGTTTCACATACGTTCACCTATTTTGCACACAGACGATCGATCATTGTGAAAACTTGTGTGAATATTTATTTTTATTGAGACGTTCCAAGTGCCTGTGCTTTCAACAGTCTTGTACGTCAATGCACGTGCGTCAAGAGCCACAAACTCAACACAATTTCATCTCTGTTATTGTTGACGCCTGAATGCGTGATTGATCAGGGAAGGGGTGCATGTAAGAGGGAGACATTTTCTTTGGGGTTCCGAAAAACACAATTCCACATGACATTTCATGGGCCATTTCAATTGGAAGCTCTGCATAATAGACCCCCAACAAGCCCTTTGACTGACTAGTCAAGAAATTCAAAGGTCTGTATATTGCTCTTATTTAGCCGCCGATAGTTCTTATTTAAAACAAAGTCTTCATTGTTATCTTCTAAAACTACAGACCATCCGCTGACCGCTGTGGAGACGTGCACCAGGCCTCGAATTTGGTGCACGTCTCCACTGCGGACAGCGCTTCATACTTGAACATCACCGCGGTCGCGTGCGCATATCCCGCGAAACTGCGCGTCTCATCCGCGCGCAGCGCTCAGGATCAACAGCAAAGCTGTGCCACGCAATCTTGTATCATGTCTCTCTGGATGTTCTTACATCACGTTTCTAAAGCTCTCTAACATTAAAATGGTTAAACCTGCTAATTATAACAATAGCATCTTATTAAATAAAACTAATTAATTGCTGCTAGGTCATGTGGTGGGTGGTGAGATAGAATCAACAATATTTCCTTTTCCACTGCCAGCAGAATAGCAACACCAAATAGTATTACTATATATAATATAGTGTACTATTATGTCGCAATATAGGTTCTGTATGCATTGGCGTCACAAGGGGGGGGGGGTGCGAAACGCAATGGGTGACACCATCAGAGGGTCGATTTTAATTTTGCTAGTTGTTTATATCACTACTAAAAAATATTGCCATTACATTCAGTGATATACGGGAATTACAATTTACAAGTAACATTAGTACAAAAACTATTACTAAGGATTCTGTACCCTATGGTCTGGTACGGGAGGTCCATGAGGGTGACACCATGAGTTACCGCACCATGTGACACCAACCCTAGTGACACCGCTGTCTGTATCATCACAGGAAACCTGCAACTATGGTGTAGTCATGTATTTTTAATTTTACGTACCAGGTATGTCAACAAACACCGTATACACCACCAGTCAACACGCCCCGTGTAAGTCGTAAATTACATTAAGCTTGGTTTAATTTACAGAGAGGGTTCATTATTTTCAAGAGTGGTGAGAATGTTATTGTCATCAACACTAACAAAGTGCTGTGTCACAGTGTGTGTGCTGTACACAACAACATGAACATGAACAACATGATAGAGTATCCTTGAACCGTCCCACGTTACCGGTTAGGCCATGAGAATTGAGGTGTGAGTTTACCGTCCACCTCCCGCATGCCGTCAGAGCCACCGCCGAAATTATTTAATTATTTCAAAAGTATTTCAAGTTTTGCATCAAACTCAAGTTGTCCATTCAGAGCGATTAAAACATACATTAAGCCTAGGACACACTAGCGATTCTGTACGCTGCCCGGCAGCGTATATTTTCGCTCACGACTTTAGAACGCCGTACGAGTTGCGCATACAGCTGCACACACTGTCCGGTGTCCAAGCACTCCAACGGGTTTCCTAGCTTTCGTTGCTACACTTGATTGGCTGCTAACAACAATCGCGTTCGAACGCGATTGTTCATTGTTGGGCGCGCTGGTGTATTTGTATGCAAGCGATGAAAAACCGGGCGGAAATATTCAACATGTTGAATGCGAGCAATTAGCCGGGCGTATTGGATCGCGAGCGAAATACGCTGCCGTGAGACGGGACACACCGCGCGGACCCGGCACCGAATTTATCGATCGCAAGCGGCCAGCGTAGAAAATCGCGCAGTGTGTCCTAGGCTTTACCAATACAAAAACGCTATAGGGCCTATTTACATCCTTCATTGGGGTCCTGATCCCCCTCTGCCTCTGGCTCTTTGAGACCTTGGGTTTGGTTTTGGTTTAGGGCGCAAAAGCATGCTGACGTATCCTGAGTACATCGACTTACAGCCCGATCCCGAAAAACGTGAACAATGGGTTAACTACAAATACTAAATGAATAATGAAAAACGAAAAATGAAAAAAAGCCTCCTCACTTTTCAAAATATCTCGGGCGGTAAACTCATACCTCAATTCTCATACGTACGGTACGGTACACAGTCACAGAGCTTTAGTTCTAGTACTATAGCCGCGTACATGGACTGCGGCAGTCAATGTACGCGGGCTATAGTACTAGAGCTAACAGAGCTCTAACTGTCATCCGTGAATACTTTAGCTCTAGTAGTAGTACTATAGCCCGCGTACATTGACTGCCGCAGTCCATGTACGCGGCTATAGTACTAGAACTAAAGCTCTGTGTACCGTACCGTACCGTACGTATGAGAATTGAGGTATGCGATGAGTTTACCGTCCGAGATATTTTGAAAAGTGAGGAGGCTTTTTTTCATTTTTCGTTTTTCATTATTCATTTAATATTTGTAGTTAACCCATTGTTCATGCGACATCCGCATGTTTTTGCGCCCTAAACCAAAACCAAACCCAAGGTCTCAAAGAGCCATGCAGAGGGGGATCAGGACCCCAATGAAGGATGTAAATAGGCCCTATAGCGTTTTTGTATTGGTAATGTATG